AAGAAAAAAAAAAATTATAAAGATGGCACTAAAAAGCAAGTTTCACTTCAAGGTGATTTTCTTCTTGAGTAGAATCCAAATTCTATTTATCTTTTTCTTTAAACTAAACATACATTCAGCAAACCTGCCTTCATTAAGTTTTATTTCAGTTAATATTCAAATGTATATGAAATCTTTTTTTAAATATTTATTTTTCAGTTGTAGTTAGACACAATACCTTTGTTTTATTTATTTATTTTATGTGGTGCTGAGGATCGAGCCCAGGGCTTCACATGTGCTAGGCAAGCACTCTACCACTGAGCCACAGTCCCAGCCCCTATATGAAATCTTTAAATCAATACCAACTGAGAAAAGGGGACAGAACCCTAAGAAACATTAAGACACAGTCATCTTGGGATCACAGATCCGTAATGCGCATAACCTCCTAGGCTGACAGCATGTTATTTGATTTAAGCTTCACAGAGATCCACTTCTTAACCGTGGTGGTTACAGAAAATGTTCTGAAATCATACAACGAAGCTGCATGGAAGTCAACACCATTCCCCAGAAATTCCATAGGAAGGAATTATTTGGGAGATAGGCCTTATCCATGAGTCCAACATAGCCACCCTGGAACAGCCAGCCATTCATTCTTCTCAGCACAACATAAAGTAGCTAAGAACAATATTTTCAAAGAAATAAAAATCTTTAAACCTGGGAATCATGATCAGGATGACTGGGCTGCTCATACTGAGGAAACAGCAGATTCAAATTCTTGTCTCACCCTCAGTGGGACTTAAACTCAGTCTTGAAACTAAGCAAAACTATCCATTATTTAAAGTTTATGTTCAAATGATTAGGTTTTGTCAAGCTTGTATAATGGCATTGCAGTCATGAAGAGTGACATGATTCCACTCACTGTGGAAGACTCAAGGAGGCACAGTCTTGGAGAGAGGGTGTAGGATCTACTAGTCTGCTAGAGACTTCCTTAGACAGTCTTTCCCAGTGTCAACTGAAGCTCTGCCTTGAACTGACAGCAATCAGAAGCACTTTCACTGTTTAATCTATGATTAAAAATTTCTGCAGGGGGATTATGATTTCTGAATCTTTTGGAGATCCAAGCCTGAGCTTTCAGCAGGGAATTTTGGGGAGTTTACTGTTGAGTCATTTCATATGATTCCAGAGTACAACGTGTCGTTATCTCCTACTCTAACTATTCCTTATGATTCCTCAATGCTTGAAACATGCTTAAGTTCTTCACAAGTCAAAGGCTTGCATTTTATATGGGTAACAAAACCATGTGAGGCAAGGCAAGAAAATCCTCTGCCTAAAGGCAGAAAACTGACACTTGACAAAGGAAAACAGAGTGTGGCCAAATTTAGTCTAACTTCACCCTCTCCCTGGATCAGATCTGCTGGCCGATGTCCTCAAGTTCTTTCACCTCTCATTTCCTTTGTGGACAAAGGGAAGGAACTTGCAGTGTGCTTCAATAACAAAAGCAGGCTCAGTCCCCGCTGCTGCCTTCTCTGGAGGCATGCTTAAGTTTCCAACTTCATGCGTCTCTCTCCAAGAAAAGGCTCTCAGTTCCCAATCCAAATCTCTCTGGATCTTTCAGATCAAAGAATGCTGGCCCAGAACCAAGAGGTCAGCAATGTGTGCTGGGCCAATATCCACGACCACCACTTCAGAACGCAGACAGACACTGACATTTTTCCCTTTGTCACCTAAGGCAGAAGGGCACACACCCTAGACCCTAACTGTCTATCTGCCAACGACCTGGGTTCACAGGGAATACCACTGACTTTTACCCACCTGTACTTGCCAAGATTCACACTTGGAGAAACTCATGAAGGTCAGTGATTTATCAGCATCATGACAGGATGACAGAAAGGCTGGGGGCTTTCACGAACCCTAACGTTCAACTCACAGGAAGAAACGTGTACATCCTTTTTTTCCAAATGATACCACACTGCAACCTGTTGATGACTCTTAAGTCACTCACACATTTCACTCCAGGTAGCTGATTTGTAACATAAGCTTTTAAAAATCTTTAGCCACTTACCATTGATCTTTTACACTCAAAAAATGAATACTTCAAAGCTTTGCAGTATCCTTCCTTCAAACACTGCCGAGGAGATTTTCCTTCCTGTGACAAATAAAACAGTATAAATGCCTAGGAATTTCACAAAGCAACTGTCCTTCTGAAAATAGTTATATTCAAAAATGTTAAGAGGAAACAGTCACATAGTAAATAGTTAATTCATTTTGACTATTGGTGCTTAGAGAGGAAGGGACAGAATGACAAAAATTGTCTAATTTGGAGGGGTTCCTGAGTTTTTGAAAACACTGGTTTTCCTTGAGGCTCTTTAATATTGTATATTTCCTTACATTCTTCCCTCACAAGTCTTCTCAGAAACTGGGATCTTCATCTCTTTATGGGTGAAAATTATGAATTAGGCACCCTAAAATCAGAACACCATTAACTAAACACTTTCCATGGATGTTGATGAGGTAGGCTAGATGGCTCCCTCCAGGAAGATAACCCAGATTTCGCCTGCTCTGCAGAGGGATTTCCCCTCCAGATCTTGCCTCTCCAACCACTCCCCCAATGCCTGTTTGCCAGTGACAGTCACATTCCCCTGGTTTCCATTATGGAAAAAGCTACAGGGTACCATGTCTATGTACCTATTCCCAGAAACCGTGGCCACGTTTACTCCTTGTCTCCCTAAGTCCTGGATTTCAACTATCATCTACATCAGTGAGTGGCAAAGTCTCCTGGCACCACTGTGTTCCTCCCCAAACTCTGAAGCAGTGCAGATGGGTGGTGCTGACCAAGTGGGGGTAGACAAAAGACTAAGCTGATGCCTCCTCAAACCACGTCCAAGACGTTACCATTTTCACAAGCCTTCAACTTACATTGCTGGCTGCCTGGTGAAAAGATCCATCTAGATACACTAGAGATGAAATGTTCATTCATCCCCTCCACTCCCAATGACAGACTAGTTGTCCCTCAATATCCATTCTTCCTTTTTATCAAGCATGTGGCTGGGGTAGGTTTTCCAGTCACCTGTGCAGCTGGATGTGGTCATGGGACAAGTCCTAGCCATGGAATGTGTGGGAAACGTGTAAAACTTCTGGGTTGGTCTTTAAAGAGGCTTGCCCCTTTTACTCCCTAAGATTACAAGTCCTGATGATGTAGGATCGAGGCAATTTGGGACTATGAGAGTAACATCCTGTCTCCCATCACAGGACTCACAGCCATAAGATCAAGAATGTATGGGCCCAGGAAGACAGAAAAGCCACCCAAGCCTTACAGGCATATGAGCAAACGCCAGAATTCTCTACCTTATTTAAGCGACTACTGTGGATCTCTGTAATGTTTGACCCTATGTCCTAATGCTCTCAAGATCAGCCAGTGCTCCCAAACATGCTGAGCCCAAGAACCAACCTTGTGGTTGCCTCAACCATTTTGATCTCCCAGGAGTCATAAAACCCTAAGTCTACCCCAGAAATGACTTTTGAATCGCTTTCTCCTTGCCAGATTCCTGGAACTTACAGCCTTACCATCATTATCCTGAATTTCTCTGGCCCCTTTATTTCCTTGACTCTCTTCCTTGACAGCTCCTATAACTAAATATTCACTTGTGTCAGAATTCCTGCTGACATTCGTAAGATGCTGCAGGTGGTTAAAGATTAGCAAGAAGAGACTATACCACCCATCGGCCATATGATCAATTAACTTCTTTACTCCAGAAACTAAGGAACCAAAAATCTTTATGAAGTGGCCATACAGACTTGATACAGACCTCAGCAGTTTCCCTTGGTTTTGAGTCCCTGGTGAGGAATAGTGTGTAGTGGGTGTCAGGGACACCACCCAAGTAGATTGTTATGAACCTGCAAAGTTCAATGTTTTGCCCCACTACTGCCTTTTAAACTCTAGCTTTAGTTGCCATTTGGTATGATTTAAGATCCTCACTGGCTGCAAATAGCAGTGAACAGAATATAAGTTGTGACTCAAACACTGATAAAGGGTAGATGTCCATTTGGGGGCAGCTTTGCAAAGATAATTGCACACAACTGATTGCCCTCTCATAGGTCCTGTCATTGGAAGAAGCACCTGTGGGCTTTACTTGGGCTCTAAACCAGAACCCAGGTTCTAGGTCAACTTTGAAGCTCACTGTATGTCTCAATGATCTCAGATGGGGTACCGAGAAGACTGGTGACTTGTGAGGGAAGAATGTAAGGAAATATACAAAATGTTGAAAATATTGAGCTGCTTCATTTACAAGTTCACACCTGGGCACACAGAGCACTTCAACTCAGAAACAAATTCAAACCAACACATGACAAATATAACACGGGGTCAGGCACGACTGAGCACAGGCAGGAGAAACTACTGGCCAGAACAGCGTGACTATGGAAGTCTCTTAACAATTTCGAGCAAGCAAAAAACCCGTCTCCTCTATGTCTCCAGAACTGTGCGGGATACCAGCCTTCAAAAAAAGTTTCCTGAACCGAAACCGCTTATTATTTACAAAAGCCCAAGGGGCGGGCATCGTATCTCCCTCCCCACGCGGGCGGGGAGTTGAGGTCCTGAGAGTTCAGGGGATCTGCCCACGGGGAGCAGCTGGTGTTGTGCCCTACAACCTGGACAGGACCGCCACCGCGGGCCGACTGGGAGGCCTTCGCCGAGCCCAGCCACAGGTTGCAGGCGCCGTCACCACCCAGAGCGCCCGGCCGCGCTACCTGGAGCACACAGTCCGACTGCAGCAGACAGGCGCCCAGGTCCTCCTTCACGCCCGTGCACGCGCCGCCCTCCGGCTTGTCCTCGTAATAGCGGGGCATGACGGCGCCTCCCGCCCGCGGCGGCGCGACCCTCTCGGTGCTCAACCCCAATCACCTGGCTAGGTGCGAGCGACACCCCAAGAGGAAGGCACCGGAAGATACTACAACAACTTCCGGAAGGTCTTCCCCGGTCGGGCGGAAGACATTACGAGTCCCGAGGGGCAGCGCATGCGTAGCGGAAATGGGCGCTCGTGACGTCAACCACACGCGCCCCGAGTGCCGGCTACGTTGCGGAAGGGAAGTCGCCCGGGCAGCGGCTGGGCTCGGCTGCTTGGCGGAGGTGGCGGGTAGCTCAGCTCCGGGCCGAGGCCGCAGTAGAGCTCCAGGTGAGCCCCGAGGACTGCTCCGCCCGCACGCGACTATTGTTCGCGCCGGGGGCCGTGTCTTCCGGCTGCTCGCGGCCCCGCGTCACGGCGGCTGGGGAGTGACCATGACTGTGTCCGGCCCCTCTCGGGCCTTAGGCCCGCGGTCGAATTCCTGGAGAAAATCAAAGTCGCCCATTTACATGGGAATCTCAGAGAGTTTTTAGTATAAGCATGTCCGACATGTTGCATGGGACTCCTAATTCGTTCCTTGCTCGAAATTCAAATGTAACTGGGCGGTCTGTACCTTTATTTGCTAAACCTGGCAGCCATACCCGAGGCCCCGGGCGAATGGAGAAGAGCTGGGCGGGGCGGGGCACTGTCCGCGTCCTGGAGGCCGACGAAGCGTAGTAGGGGCGTCGGGCTGCGCTCACCAGCCTTGGCCTGGCCGACTGGTCTCCCATGCTGTCATGCCTCCTGCTGAACTGCCCTGGGAGTAAAGCGCTAGGGATTGGATATTTGCTTTGTTTTTATGTCGCATTGTGATGAACAAGGAGCTTGCTGGCCTTACGCTGATGAACCTGTGTGGAAAAGCTATTGTACCTCTTCGGTAACGTTGCGTTCTAATCGGCTTCAACTAAGGTTTTCCCTTAAGGGCTTGGTGGTTACGTTCCAATCGTGGCTCCATCACTGTCTTCGTGCTCATAGGGAGGTCAGTTCACCTCCCTGTGCCTCTCCCTCTGCCAACATTAGCTACCTGGGAGGGCTGTCTGAGGATCGAGTGAGGTGAAGTGTGGGAACAGCCTGGACCCTGGATAAGTGTTTGATGGTTCTGAATCCCATAGTGTTGCCCTGGCCTGAAGTGGGCAGCAGTTCTGCAGCCTCAAGACAAGCCTCAGAACCAACTCCGGTTGCTTTTGACCCCTGACCCTTCTGAAGGGTGGAAGAGAAAATGTAAAGTGACCTCCTTGCCAAATAACACAGAAGAGGGGTGCTGATAGCCAAACATTTCTTCATATTGCATGTAAAAGAATTGTTTTCTTCCATCTAGGAAGATGTTACCAAGTACTTCAGTGAATTCCTCAGTGCAGGGGAACGGAGTCTTGAATTCCAGGGATGCAGCAAGACACACAGCTGGAGCAAAACGCTACAAATACCTCAGGAGGCTTTTTCGATTTCGCCAGATGGACTTTGAGTTTGCTGCCTGGCAGATGCTCTACCTGTTCACTTCCCCACAGAGGGTTTATAGGAACTTTCATTACCGGAAGCAGACAAAGGACCAGTGGGCCAGAGATGACCCTGCTTTCTTGGTCTTATTAAGTATCTGGCTCTGTGGTAAGTGTTAGTTTCTGCAATAGAGTTGAAGAACAAATTGAGCTTTTCAGATTAGGCTTATCATTTGAAGGATCCTTTGATATAATGTGTTTTGGGTTCAAATTTGGGGATATCTGAAGCTGTTTTTTCTGTACCTTCAAAAATCACAGGAAAGGTTAATTCCTCCTAGTTCTACAGGTCTCAGTCCAATGCCAGAGTAAATTAAATTGCTGCTTTGGGACCTTGAAGAGCAGGGGGAAAAATTCACTCCATGTCTTTTAACTATAGTGAACCAATACCCAAACTCCAACTTGCTGTGAAAAGGAATGTCAGGATTGGACATGGTATTTCACGATTAAGTAAATCCAGAGAGTTCCAAAATACCAACATGAACTTGAAAACCTGTTTTTAAGTTCTCCAGTAGTATAATGAAAGTGCATCAGTCAAAAGTGATAGAGTGTTTTTCACTTTTAACTGGACTTAAAATACATGAGTGCCTTTTCTGTCCGGTGGTGTTTGGAATGCTGGCCTGTCACCGTAAACTACCTACCTTGACAAACAAACTATCTATAGCCCAGTGTGGTTCCCGGTTGCTACATCAGTTACATATGACACATCCTGGGAGTTTTGTTTTGGTCTCTCTGTCTCACTAGACTATGGGTCTTTGGAGGCCAAGATTGTCACTCGCCTTTCCATTGCTGTAACAAAATACTTGAGAAACAATTTATAAGGAGGGAATTTTTATTTTGGCTCATGGTTTCAGAGGTATGAATTCATGGTCACTTGACCCTGTTGCTGTATTGAAGCAAAACATCATGGTGGGGAGTTCATGGTAGAGTAAAACTGCTCATCTCCCAATGGCCAGGAAACAGGAAGGGACCAGGGTCCCAATCTCCCCTTCAAGGGCACACTCCCAGTGACCTAACTTCCTTCCACTAGGCCCCACCTCCTGAAGGTTCTATCAGCTCCTGGTAGCACCAGGGTTGACAATTGAGCCTTTAGTACATGGGCCTTTGGGGGGCGTGTAAGGACCAAACCCTGACACCAAGGCCAGTGCCCTGTACCCAGCGAGTGTCTGAGTGAATCTTGTGAATCTTTCTTTCAGTATCCACTATAGGATTTGGCTTTGTGCTGGACATGGGATTTTTTGAGACGATAAAGCTTCTCCTGTGGGTCGTGTTCATAGATTGTGTGGGTGTTGGTCTTCTGATATCAACTTTAATGTGGTAAGTAATTAACTTTGGCTTTGCAGTTACTGTGGAGGCTCCATTTGTTCACCTTAGAGGTACATACCTGATGGAAAGTGACACCAAGATGGAGTGGTGGCCCCTGTATTAGGAAAACAGGATGGAACATTTTAGTCACAGTGCGACTTGGGTTCAAATGCCAATGCAGCCATTTGTGTCATGTGTAGTCCAAGTCTCACCTTTTGTAAAATGAATTACCTGTTTTGTCAGATTTTTGAGAGGATTGTGGTATAATAAGCACTTGGAATGTACTTAAGTGCTAATGTAGCTATTACTATCTTAAACAAAACTTCCAAGACTGGAACCTTTGGTGATACCAACCTTTTATTTTCTTTGTAACTTCTGACTCATAAAGTGCGGGTTTTGTATATACTAGGTAGTTAATAAATGCTTTGTACTATTAATGTAAAATTTTTAAATGAGGCCATAGTTAATATTGCTAACTAATTACATTTATTACAAAGCTACCCAGGAAAATGGTACAGTCTATGAAAAAAAAATTGAGAAATGAGGTTTTCAAAGGAATCGTTTATAGCAAGTGTTCTGCCCTGAATGCAGATTCTGAAGGCCCCAGAAACGGTGTTGTCCAGTTGAGCACTTTCGATATGAATTTATATCATAGTGTGAGTTAAATAGATACTATCTTTGAGAACCAGTGTTTGAGCTGTGAATCCTGTGAGGAACTAAAACTAGAAAGGATTCCATGTAACCGCGGCCATACCAGAGGTCCACTGGAACCAGCATGAAGTGGTGGGTGGGGAAACATGGGACCTCTGACCGCTGGTACCTGGACTTGCAGGTGCAGAGGCACAGAAGTGAGAGACAGCATGCCAGGTCTGGGGTGGAGAGTGACCCTGAGGGTGACTAGGGAGGAGATGAGACTAGAGAAGTCAACCTCGATGCCATTCGGAAAAAAGAGGACCTGTTCTCCCAGGCTGCACGTGTGACTGGAGGGTAGAGAGGTGGAGCTCAGGGCTCGGAAGGGAGGGAATCATGTCAGTTTCACGCTTAGGCAAAGTCTTCCCTGGCAGTGAACGAGGAGGTAGAAAAGGGTCAAGGCCAGAGAGTTGGCAGGGGCTCTACGAAGAGCAGAGGGGGCCCAGAGTAGTGTGGTGGTAACAGTGGGGTGGACTGAAGAGCATCCCATGGAAACAGGATATGGTGGGGGACAGGAAAGAGATGGGGCAGCCACAGCCTCCTTCAGGATGGCCTTCGACAAGTGCAAATGAGCATGCCATGTCAGGTGTGTGGAGCTCAGGGGGCCCGTGGAGTTCGGGGGCATGCGGAGTATTTAGTGGAAGTGAGGGTCAATGGGCCTGAGGTCTCTATTCTGATTTGAAACTTGGAGACCAGAGTCTGGCCCAAGCTGTGGATGTGAGTGGTGTCCTTGATGCAGGTGGGAGGGGAAGCCACGGTTGTCTTGGAGCTCTCTGAAGGAACAGCTCTATCCCATTAACGGTGAGCAGGGGAACAGAGCTCCTCGGGGTGAGCCACATGCTATTACATGAAAGTCTTTTTCATTCAAAATTATTTAATTATACATATTTGTGGTGTTCTCTGCAGTGATTGGATACGTATATACAATGTGTAATGATCAGATCAAGGTAATTAGCATTTCCAGCTCCTTAAACATTTTTAAATTTTTGGTGTTGGGAACCTTTGAACTCCTAGTTCTTTGTAAAGTGTACAATAAATCGATGTGAACTGTAGGCACCCCCTGTGCTGTGGAGCAGAGCTCACGCCTCCTGTCTAACTGGCTTTGGATACCCAAGACTGCCGCAGTCTGGCTGGGCACAATCAGGAGCCACTTGTCAAAAGAAACTAACTTTATTTTTAGAACCACACACGACAAACAAAATAGTCTCTCAGGAAAAACCCTCAGAGCCTCAACTGCCACCACCGGCTTTCCCCAAGCCTCTCTCTCCCACACAAGCTTCTCTCCACCTCCCACAATCCTCCTGCTCTTGAGGCCGATTGGCTGGGTCACGTGGGCGGAGCCAAAAAAGTCCCCCAATGAGCAGCTCCGTGGTCTGAAAGGGCAGGGAAACAGTCCAATGAGCATCACCGCAGAGGAGCCAATCAGCTAGATGTTGCTGGGGCCGAGGAGCCAATCAGCTAGATGTTGCTGGGGCCGCTGTGAGCCAATCATCAGCCAGCAGCTGGAAGTTTGCTGGCAGCTGGAAGTTTGCTGGGGCCCCTTTGGCTGTGGCTCTCAACATCTCCCCCTCTCTGTTTAAACAACAAGCATGTGGCTTAGGGGCCGTGCCTGTTAGGCAGTCCAATTCAACATATGGTCCTTACCCGTCATCGGATGAACTGACCTCTAGGCGTCAGCCTCCTGTCTTAGGTTGGTACCACTGCAATTGGATCATACCCGTCACTGACTACCGGTCCAGCATACAGCCATACTTGTGGATAGGCCTTTGCACCTGTGGGGGGGTGAGGTTCTTTGCCTCACCTCTGTTGGCCCCCAAATTTTAGACCATCACTAGTAGAGGAGGATGCAAAATGCCATGACATTAAGCCAATTGAGGGCTCCTTTGAAAAATTGTACCACCGGTGACACCATCAGCAAAAATACTCCAGCACTACCACAATTCGCTGTACCAACAGATAGTTCACAATGCATACAGGTGAGCTCACAATGTGTCCAGGCAAGTTCTGCAAGCAGTTCAGTGATGGCTATTGTAGAAGCTGTAGATTGGTTTTATCTTTGACTTCACCAGCACTGGGATGAAGATAGGAATTCTGGCAATAATGGCTAAAGAAAAAATTATGTAACATTCCAGAAGGCACTAAAAGAAAATAATTTTCTTAACAATTTACATTGTCTTCACCGGCACTGGGATGAAGATAGGAATTCTGGCAATAATGGCTAAAGAAAAAATTATGTAACACTACAGAAGGCACTAAAAGAAAATAATTTTCTTAACAATTTACATTATCTTTAAGAGAATTATTAAATATAATGAAAAGGAAAGGTGAAAGTAAACAAACAGATCTGTTAACCTTCTTTTTTGTTTACATATTAAAACAATCCTCAACAGTTGTTTACCCAATTTAAATAAAACCATATAAATCACGTGAAAAAAAAATATTTGGATCCATTTTATCATGAGCGCTCATCATATATGATATATGGACATACGTACATTCAAACATATAACACAAAACACAAGTGTGCACACATAATATAATACATACAACACATAACATTATAGTAAAGGCCTTATAACTTTTTACAGGTGAAATCTCCATTGCAATGTTTAAAAACTCTATAGTCAAAAAATAGAACTGATCAGCAAAACATTAACCTAGGTCTGTATGAGCTCAAAAAACAAAATAGAACTTCATGATATGGCAAAGGGCAATAATAAAATAGATATTGAAAAAAGCATCCTGGTTCTGTTGCAGATGTAAGAATAGCCAAACTGGAGTTTTGGATATCAGTTGTTATGGATTTGAGCCAAATCATCTTCTTTTTGGTCTGTAGAAATCGCTTTAGTTAATCTTTCTGGAATCCAAATCGGCTGCTGTTCTCCCTGTGGAAACACATAAACAGACCCCCGACTCCAGACAATCACTGGGTCAGGACCTTGGTTAATCTCTCTGGAATCCAAATCGGCTGCTGTTCTCCCTGTGGAAACACACAAACAGACCCCCGACTCCAGACAATTACTGGGTCAGGACCTTTCCATTGTCCTGTTAGAATATCCTTCCAAAGTACCTTGGGCTTATGTACATTTTTTGGACACATATGCCTTTCTGCAGCACTAAGTCCTGATGAATCCAAATTTAAAAAGTTTAGAGTAAAAAGGGTTATTTTAAGTTTATCTTTGGGGAATATATACCCCTTCCCAATTCCTTCTTTTTGCTTTAATAAGTACATTTTAATAGTTTGATGAGCTCTTTCAACTATGCCTTGTCCCTGTGGATTGTATGGGATTCCTGTTATATGAGTAATGCCAAATGTTGAGCAAAATTGTTTAAAAGAGGTAGAAGTATAACCAGGGGCATTATCTGTTTTTAACTGTTTTGGAACACCCACAGTGGCAAAATTTTGTAAGCAATGAGCTATAACATCTTTAGTTTTTTCTCCGGCATGAAGGGAGCCCATCAAAAATCCAGAAGAAGTATCAACTGTAACATGCAAATATTTTAATTTTCCAAATTCTGGCAAGTGTGTGACGTCCATCTGCCAAATATGGTTAGGTATCAATCCTCTAGGATTGACTCCAAGATTAACTTGTGGTAAAAAGGTCACACAATTTTGACATTGTTTTATTATTTGTCTAGCTTGTTCCTTAGTTATTTTAAAACGCTTTTGTAAAGTATTAGCATTGACATGGAACTTTTTATGAAAATTTATAGCTTCTTCTAGTGTAGAGAAAATATGTATGTCATGTGTAGTTTTATCTGCTAAATCATTGCCCAAACTAAGGGCTCCAGGCAATCCTGTATGTGCCCTGATATGTCCTATAAAGAATGGATCTTTTCTGTCCCAGATTAGACTTTGTATAGTGGAAAGCAAAGAGAAAACAGTAGAAGAAGGGGAAATCCTACCAGCATCTTCAAGAGATACTATAGCATTAACTACATACTGACTATCAGAAAATAAATTAAATACAGAATCTTTAAACATCACAAAAGCTTGTAAAACTGCATTAAGCTCTACCTTTTGAGCTGATTGTTTGGGTACTAAAAATGTAAAAGTTTGATCAGGGGTAACTACTGCTGCTGTACCATTATTTGACCCATCAGTGAATATATTTGGAGCATTCATGATAGGTGTTTTTCTTGTCATTTTTGGAAAAATTACAGGATGCAATGACCAAAAAGACAATAAAGGATTAGATGGTAAGTGGTTATCAAATGAAACATTAGATTTACACATGATTATTGCCCAAGTATTTAACTCATTAGCTAACTCATCAATTTGATTCATAGTATATGGAGTAATAATTTTATTGGGAGAAATTCCAAACACTCCCTTTGCTGCTTTTATTCCTTTGAGTATTAATTGTCCTACAGCCTCAGGATACCTAGTAAGAATAGTGTTAGGAGAATAAGATAAATGTATCCATAATAATGGACCTTCTTGCCAAAATACTCCTGTAGGAATATTTTTTGTTGGTAGTACAATAAATAATAAAGGCAAACTTATATCAATTCTATCCAAATGCATATTTTCCATATATGTTTCAATGATTTTTAATGCCTTCTTGCTTCAGGCGTTAACATTCGGGGTGAATTTGGATCTGATGGACCTTTTAGGATATCAAATAAAGGTCCCAACTCTCCTGTTGGTATACCTAAATAAGGCCTTATCCAATTTATGTCTCCTAATAACTTTTGAAAGTCATTAAGTGATTTGAGTTGATCTACTCGTATTTGAATTTTTGGTGGACGGACCATGGTTGAGGATAATAGAACTCCTAAATAATTAATTGGAAAATTTAATTGTACTTTATCTATTGCTATCTCTAGATTATAATTTTTTAATAAGTTTGTAAGTGTGGCATAACATTCTAGCAATGTGTTTTTATCTTTGTGTGCTAATAATACATCATCCATATAGTGAAATATTTGTAGTTCAGGATTTTGATTTCTAAGTGGCTGGATTACTTTGTTAACATAAATTTGACACATAGTTGGGCTGTTAGCCATCCCTTGAGGGAGTACTTTCCATTCATATCTCTGATCAGGACCTTCATGATTCAGTGCAGGGATAGTAAATGCAAAACGTGGACTATCCTCAGGATGAATTGGAATTGAAAAAAAACAATCTTTAATATCTATAACTAAAACATACCAGGTTTTTGGCAAAGCAGACAACTGAGGAATCCCTGATTGAGCAGGTCCCATAATAACCATCTCATTATTAATCTCTCTGGAAGACCCAGCTTCTTGCAACCACCTCCCCGCTCTTCCCTGCCTCTGGTTCCACTCTTTAGATGACTAAGTGAGGGACTGTTTATTACACTGCACCATGTTCTCCCTGTTTCTTTATTTTCTATTTTTATCTCCTCTGTAGGAAGAGAATTTTCTTAATTGTGTCCTTGAATTGAAATGCCTTGGCACATAGAAAAGGTACATTGAATTTCCACAAATGACCCGCGTTGTTCTTTGAAGAGCTCCCTTTTTGTTTCGTGGACATTATCCCCTTCAATCACTCACCAATTACCTGAGCTGGTGGCTGCGCGGAGAACAGTGACAGCTGAGTAATTCGTATTCCTGTGGCTGGACATGCCGCCGGCCCTCTTCTCTTTGTCTCTTCCTGTCCTCCTCACCTTTTAATAGAGAGTTGACAGGCCTCAGTCTTGCCTTGGTCCCTGTGTTCTCCTGGTGATGTCCTTCAGGCTCATGGCTGTCAAGATCCCCCCACACTGAAGCTTCTGTTCTAGTTCGACCTCGCTCTCCCCCAAGCTGCGGACTTCCTGCCCATCTCCGGACTCCATGCTGGCGGCTCCTTCAACGTCCCCAGTCCAGCTCCAGGCTCCCCTTGACTCTTCCTTATTTCTCAGACCCCCCTCCGACATTAATCCTGTCGGCTCCGCTCCCAGGTCCAGAGCGTCTTGCATCCCCCACCTCCGTTGCTCCTACTGCTCTGGGCTCTTGTCCACAGCAGCCTTCCCTCTCCCTCCTTGACTTGTCACTATAGTCTGTTCTCAGACTGGCTCCAGAGAACCTGCGGAACATTTCAGCCAGGCCCTGCTTGCCAGCCCATGGCTTCTCTCTCCACCAACATTGAAAGCCACGTCTTAGAGTGGCCACAGGCACCAGGAAATCTGGCTCTGCTTTCTCTTCAGGCTTCCCTTCCTGGCCCATCCCTCCAGGCACACCTGCCTTCTTAGCCTTTCCTCCAGGAAGCCAGGTGCCACCACTGCCCTCTGGTCTTTACCCCAACATAAACTTTGACTAGAAAATTTGCGCATGTTCTGTCCTTGCTGCTGCTGTACTTTTCTCCATGGCACCCTCTGACAGATGCCAGCGTTCCGTGTCCTCCCTCTAGACAGAGCCTGGAGCGCCAGCTCACCCTGAGCTCCAGAATCTAGAGCAGTGTCTGGTCTGTAGAAGGCAATAAGTGCAAAAAGAGTTAATTTTACTGTATTATGAAGGGAATCTTAATCTCACCCTTTAGGTTCATCTCCAACAAGTATCTAGTAAAGCGACAAAGCAGAGACTGTGACGTGGAGTGGGGCTATGCCTTCGACGTGCACCTCAATGCCTTCTACCCGCTCCTGGTCATTCTGCATTTCATCCAGCTGTTCTTCATCAACCGTAAGTAAGACTGACTTCTCAGCTGTCGCCCATGCTCCCTGTGTGCACTGGGAAGAGACTCACTTGTGCATTTCTCCTGGCAGATGTTATCCTAACAGACACATTTATTGGATATTTAGTTGGAAATACCTTATGGCTGATTGCAGTTGGCTATTACATCTATGTAACCTTCCTAGGATACAGTGGTAAGTACCGTAAGAAATTGGATGGGTGCCTGCGTAGATGACAGGGAGGGGGCAAGTTGTAACACATACTCCCAGTTTACCATTATGGAGCACTGACAGGCCCCGCCCCAAGTATATTATGTAATCCTTATAACAATGATGATACAGGTTCACTTGTTCCCATTTTCCAGTGAGGAAACTGCGAAAGATTAACTTGTCTATGGTCTCCCAGCTAGAGAGTGGTCTAGCTGGTATATGATAAATTTCATAATCTCCTGGCACCATGTTAAATCATGCTGACATCTCCAAGCTGCTGGCAGGAGTTGGTCTCCAGTCTCTTCTGCATGTTCAGTTCCAGGTCACTGATACCAAGGCAGAGTGGGGAAGGGTCTGGGCTTGCAGGCCTGTGACTGGAGCTGTTGAAAACCTTTTTGCACCATTTTCTTTTTTTGTGATCGTGTATGGTTCTGTAGATGATCACAGACAATTAGACCCAACTTTTATTGACCTCAGGATGTTTGCCAATTTACTTTTTTTGTTGTTGTTGTTGTTACCAGAGATTGAACTTGGGCATTTGGCCACTGAGCCACATCCCCAGCCCTATTTTGTATTTTACTGGAGACAGCGTCTCTTTGAGTTGTTTAGTAGCTCACTTTTGCTGAGGCTGGCATTGAACTTGAGACCCTCTTCCTTCAGCCTCCTGAGCCGCTTGGGATTACAGGTGTGCACCATGGTGCCTGGCCTGCCAATTTACTCTTAAATCCTGTTGTCAGCTCAGTTTTCTTAATATGAATAACGTTCTTAACATTAGTCTTCATGCATATTATCTCTTACGAGCCAGGTGTGGTAGTGCGTGCCTATAATCTCAGTTGTTCAGGAAGCAGGAGAGTCACAAGCTGGAGGTCAGGCTGGGGATGTAGTTCAGAGCTGGAGCATTCGACTAGCATGTTTGAGGTCCTGAGTTTGATCCCCCAGTACCAGCCTCCAAAAAAGGCTCTCCAGTGGAAAATAAAATCTAGAGCTCCCACATATTTTAGCCCTTCCTGTTCTTCTGGGTGGTCAGAACCTTGCTGTCAGCAGCTTTTACTTTCCTCAGACTGGTCCTTTGGATAGAGCTGTTCCCAGCTCTCAGCTGATTTGCCAGGATCACTTATCCCCTTCACCGCACTGCCTGGTGTGGGTACTGCCAGTCCTTCCCCTGCTCTAGGGCCGGGTTTGTGACCAGATTCAAGCTTCTAGTTGTCACATAATTGGGGAAGGTTGTGGTCGGTGTCGTGGTGCAACACTTGGCCCTCCTATGTGGGGAACGCTCTCCTGGGATCTTCCTGTGGGCAAGACATTCCAAGTCGAGTGCAGAGGGGGCCCCCAGACTAAGTGATATCTGGGAACCGTGGGGGTGTAATGGCTTTTGCACTGGAAACTTTCAAATGGCTAAGATTGTTTTTCCCCTCCATCATCATCTGTCTCAGTACCTTAAGATAGGCTTCTGAGGTGGTCACTGTCCTGGTCAGTATTTGTAATGTCCCTCGCTCAGTCCTAAGGGTAGCAAAACAGTATTTATAGTTCTACAAACAGCACCATGTACCTTTTTAAAAACATTTTTAGTTGTAGGAGGACCCCTTTATTTTAATGTGGTGCCGAGGATCAAACCTAGTGCCTCAGATGTGCCCGGCAAGCGCTCTTACCACTGAGCCACAGACCTGCATCACGTGCTTTTTGGTCCCACATGTTGAAGAGCAAGCTGTGTTTTGGAATGTTCATTTTTTAAGAAATAATTTGGATTTGTTTCCCTTCCAGCATTGCCCTTTTTGAAAAACACAGTAATTCTTCTCTATCCGTTTGCACCTCTGATCCTACTGTATGGGCTGTCGCTGGCACTAGGCTGGAACTTCACCCGTGCTCTGTGTTCTTTCTATAAGTATCGAGTGAAATGAAGAGAAAGGTGGCAATACCCAGCTTGACTGTCAACAGTATTGGTGAGGTGATGATTTCTTGTAAAACTTGTAAATAAACTCTTTGTAGATATCTTAAAGGTGTAAAGTTTACAGATTTGAGGAGATATGCTAACACTGTGGTCAAGTACATTCCTTCAATAAATATTTTTTAAACTAAAGCATGCATGTGGTAATATGGGCACCCAGGAGCCATACATAACTTTCATATGAATTGATTTTGGACAAGGGGCTACCCTCAGTCTCCCCCAAGCCTCTTTAACCTGTAGTGCAGCTGTGTAGTAGAGGCCCTGTTGTCACTGATAGTGTGGCTTGCCGAGAAAGGAGGACACAAAGCAGAAACTCCCATGATACACTAGCCTGAGGCAGTCAGTGCTGGGGGCTAAGCAAACACCTGTATAAACAGTGTCCATCTGGGTCTGACAGCAGGGCTTTACCCTTTTCAAAACACATAGGATCCACTCCTTGGTTCAGTGCTAATTTTATTAGAAGGAATCTTGAATCAGCACAGCTTTTTAAATCTCTTTATTTCAAATACACATGAACAGTTGTGGCACAGAGAAACAGTGATGAAAGGCACAGTCAACAGGACCAGTTATTAGGTTTTCAATTATAGCAGCAACTTGAAAATAAATATTCTTCCTTTAAAAATCCAATAGGTACCTAAAATATTACTACAAATATTAACCGTTCAACACATGAAGACATTAAGGAAAATATGTACATTTAGGAAGAAAAAAAAAAACATCTGGTACAACCTGGCAGAGATTGTTCAGGCAGCTTCTCCAAGGGATGCCTCCAGAAACATCCCCAAATGCAAAGACAGCCTTTCCAAGGAAATCGCTCTGAATGAGACATGCTTAGTTCTTCATTCCATGAAGGAAACACAACTGTTAGGCTTAGCAGACTTTTAAATCTTCCTTAGAAAACATCACTGGCTATACCGAAATGAAAGTATCAAATCTGCTGGCAGTGCATCTTACAGTACTATCGATATCCGCCATTTTTAAGGCTCAGAGAGAATGTCTTCAAGAGATTTTTACCAAAGTTGAACAGACATCGAGCACTTTGAACAAATAACAGGATGCTAATCAGGGTAAGGTACAAACCAACCTTTGATTCTGGGACAGCTGCTAATTACTAATACAGTGAAACACCTAGGAGCGAGCGGTACAAAAGAGCCTGCCTGACGTCTGAGGGTATTCCAGCGTTCACCACAGTCCTCACTCAGAGCCGTTAGCACCGCTGCTCTGGACATTGGACTGCAGCATTAACTGCAGGCACAATGCTCTGCCTCCTTCCCAGCTCACTCCACTGCCTTTTTTCCCTACAGTGCCAGGGGCAGGACCTGGGACCTGGCACACGCAAGCCAGTGCTCTACCCCGGAGCTGCACCCTAGCCCACCCTACTGTCTTTAACATCTCCTTCCTCTCAGTTCCAACAACCCAGAGCGCCAGCTTCTCCTCTGTCTGTTCTTTGACAATGGTCTGATTGGTGCCCAAACCGTAGAAGGGGGTGCCAAAAGTGGGAAGAGTTTAATATAACGATGACACAGGTTTGGGTGACAAACCCTCACTTGGCTGCTTTTCCTAACACTGCTTTAGTAGTCTTTTTAGCATTGTATGTTGACATGCATTAAAGAAATAAAGTAAGCATACTAGTTATCATAGCATATATCTGTTAAGATTAAGAATTTAAAATTTCACACTATCAAACTAAGTTTTACACATTATAAATACTGCTACATAGCTTGGAAAAGTTGCTTTTATAAAGGGATTGAGCTGGAAATCTAAGTTTCCTTTTAACACAAAGATGTGATTATGACACATTTGCAATCTTGAAAGTTTGTAGCTTCTAATTTCCTTATTCTTAAATCAAGGGTATGAGCACAAAAATTAATGGATAAACCAAACTAAAAGTGAACCCCATTTGCAATTAACGGCTTGAAAGCAGAGAGGTATTTTGGAAAACATTCTCAAAGTACAAAAATGGGGTTGGCACAAATAGGGTTTGATCTGTGCTAGGTAATAAAGTTTTGATTAAAAAAAATAAGTCCCTCACAACAATAAATTATGTAATCTCTACATACAGGAAGGAGTTATTTTTCTCTTAATTTGGTGTCCTGAAATACCACTGTTTTATTCTTTTGTATACTTCTGACAGGTTCAGAGCAGTCTATTCTAAATCATGAATATCTCACCTAGAAAAAAAGGCTCCTCACATTTCTATTCCTACAATCTTGTTCTAACAGTTCTTGTATAAAACATTACATTTTACCAACAAACTTCCAACAAAGACTGAGATCTCTGGCACAAAACATCCTAGCTGAGGCCCAGGACTAGAATTTGCTAGTAGAGACTATTCATGCACTTTTTTTTTTTTTTAACCAAGAAATACCCAACATTACTACAGACAATCAGTTACGAAGTCGTCTCCTCCTTACCTCTTCTAAATGACATACTCATTTTCTATTGCTGTACAGCAACTACCACAAATGTAGCAACCTAAAACTCCACCCATTTACTATCCTACAGTTCTGCAGGTCAGAAGTCACAGCAGACTCAATTTGAGTTCTCCGATTAGGGTCTCACAAAGCTGGGATTGAGGTGCTTGGCCAGGCTGGGTTCTTATGTGGAGACAAATCCATTTCCACGCCCATGTATGAGCTTGTGGCCCGAGTCAGTTCCTGTGGCTATAGGGCTGTACATCTCATTTTCTTCGCTGGCAGCCAAAGCCTCCCGGCTCCTGGAGGCTACCCGTATTCCTTCCCCTGTGACCCCCTCCACTCAGTTGCCTGGCGTTGGAGTTCTGCTTGGAGTCTATAACTTGGACTACCAGCCTTAGAAAACTGCTTTTAAAGGACTCAGGAGACTGGATTAGTCGCCCCCAGATAATCTTTTGCTACATAACATTACATAATCATGGATCATACAGTTCCACCCACACTCAAAGGGGAGGATATAATACAAGATCCCAGGGAGGGAGTCATTCTTAGAATTCTGTCTACTAAACACACTGCTATTAACCGGAGCGATCTCCCCAAACATGCTATTTTCATATCACCAAACTTCTTTGAGGGACAGTACTGTTGGGAGACAATTTTGGTTTTTGTTATTATGAAAGATTTAAAAGAAGTCTTTACAAATTTGCTCATGGCTTTTAAAATAACTGTACCTTCTAATTTTTTAGTTCAGCCGCTGATCTGAAAAGCTGTACAGAACCTTGGTTCAAAGACGTCTCTAAGGGTTGAATATATACATGTATGTCTATCCCGTCTGGATCCAAACCAAGAAAGCCTGGATCTTAGGTGCTAGAAATTGGTCCTTGACTTTTCTCTTTTCGCTCCAAATACTCATCATTTGCATTATAGCGTATGCCCATCTGCTTTTAACCCTGTCCTCAGAATCCTTTAATTCTGGTTTCTAAAGTGTTCACATTGTACTCCACACAGTAATGCCCATCAGAACTTTCTGCAATGATGGAAATGTTCTGTATCTCTAGGGCCAATGTAATAGCCACTAGTCACATGTGGCCACAAAGCACTGGAAACATTGCAAGTTCAACTGCAGAACTGAATTTTTTATTAATTTAAAAAGCTACTGTGCATCTAGTGACTAGTGCCTAGGCAGGCATGCACTGCTCAGGAGTCTGAATAGTTAACCTGGAATACACACCAGATGCCAATCCATGTCAGGTGGTGGGACTAACATATTAGTGACATCTTCCCCATTCATTATTTTGGTACAAGTGGTTCAGTGTCAAGTTCAGGTACTCCGGTTCCAAGTGTTCTTGGCCCTCTGCTACCCGTCAGGACCACCACTATAAATTCTTGCTTAGGGAAAGCAAGACTGCTCTCAGTTGCCTAGCAGAGGACCTGGTGGAAAGGAGGAGCAACTAACGCTGAGGCCAGGTGAGTCCACTGCTGCAGTGAAGGACAGACAGAGAGGAAATGAGGTGCAGGCTGGCTGCAGGAGCTCAGAGACGACACGTCAGTCACAACTAGGCAGGGAGATGCGTGTGCACGGTGGGAGGGTGAAAGGCCAAGGGAGCAGAGGGAGGGGAGAGGCTGGCACAGCTGGTTCACATGCTCAGAGGCGACCACACCTGCCATGTGCCGGACACATTCTAGAAACAGGGAACAAAGCCATGGGAGGAAGGAGAGTCTCCGTGAATGATGGAAAGGATTCCAGGAACTGGAGAGAGGAGCAGAGGCTGGGGTGGGGGCCGCGCTGGCTGGGCCCAGAGTCTTCAAGAAGCCCTAATGAGTAGCCCGGGGAGCTACAGCACTTTGTCCTAGGCTGGCTTTCCTTCTGAAGTCCCAGTTGCTACTGAGGAACCAGGGACCCTGGGGATCTCCATCTGCACAGATTTTTAGCTGCTTCAGTAGTGGTTCAGAATGCCAAGCTGGTGCCAACATTTACAACAAAAGGCAAGTCCCTGTTTTGAAAGAAATTTGCTGATAGGCTCTGCGATGGGGAATTTAAAAACTTCAACTGAAATGTGACATCAAATCCTGGGCCACATGGTAGGTTTGCTGACCAAGGAAACTAAACATTCTACAACAGAGTGGGACAACAGAACCTGATGGGCATTTCCCAGCTTCCCCTTCATCTGGCACAGCGAGGGCAGCATTGGACGCCATGCATCCCACATACTGGGCAGCAGTAAACTCCAGGCCAGAGGTCACCAGCTGTGGGACCTCTCACAGCCCTCAGCCTCGGCCAGGGCCACTCAGAAAGCTCAGGGGATCCACCTGTGCACACCTGCCACACACTGTAACCCCAGGTGGTTGGAGTGGCCTGGCTGGCTTGACAGCTCCTAACTGTTTGAAAGGGAAGTACTCTGTGGAGACCATCGATGGCTGAAGCCGGTGACACACTCTGCTGGCCGCAGTGATAGGATGTGGAACTGCCGCTGAAGGTGATGAATGCTTCTGGAAACAGGTCAGATCACAATGCAGCAGAATAAAGCATTCTGGGAAAACACAACTGCTATACTACCTTTTGCCACAAATCTATATAATAATTTTGTTTTTCTTTAAAATTATACACATTATGACCCATACAATAGCATTACCTAAAAACACTAACTCAGAAATGAGAGCAGATATAAAAGGTTCAACAAGAAAAGAGAATGCATCTAATTCATGGATTACAGACAAAGATTAAAAAGGAAGGAAGGGTCTGCCACCTTCCCTACCAGAGACTTAGCGAGCGAGTCCGTGGCGATTCAGGTTGGCGCCGTCACACCCGCACACTGAGAGTCCTCAGACTGATTTTCTGTGGCTACATACCACACGCAGTACAGTAAAGCAACCCTCAAGAAGGATGTTGGTCTTTAAAATCTTGGCTTTAAGGAATGACAAATGCCTTTGAAAATATTTTGTTTAGAATCGCTGTGATTATAAAAGTACTTCAGTTAAGAAATCCATCTATAATCAATCTTAAATGGCAGTGCATTTGAAAAATGGCATTGATTTGTAATGTTTGCATTTTGAAAGAAAAATATAGAAAGAACTTAAAAAAGCAAGGTAACTGGTTCTCAAAAAAAGTATTGATTCAAAAATTTACTGCACAAAAATATGTACTCCTTAAGTGTTTCTAATAAATTAATTCCATACATTTTATGTATATTTATATATTTATATATAATCCCTGATAATCTATAAAAGAGGGTCTATAATAGTAAAATAAATGAACTTCAAAAGTACCCCCTTCATAAAATGTATTTAACATTAGTTTTCTCAAATTTAAGGAATGTAACAATATGTACAACTCGTATGTATTAGTATAATACCAAAACAGTACAAGTCCTATTAACAGGCTGTCATAATTGTAAAATGTTTGCATCAAGTTAAAATTGGAGAAGAGCATAGTTCAAATAATACAATTATCTTCGGGAGATTCGCTTTCCAAGTGGAAACAGCAGTCGTCTTATCTACAGTAGATTCACAGAGGTAGTGTTCAAGTTTGGAAAAAAAAAAAAAGGTACATGCTTAGCTATCTTTAACAGAGTCACCAGGAAAAAACGTGTTGGTTTCTTAGATGATCAATTAGTGATTTTTTTAATATGAATCTGAAACACAAAATAGTGAAAAGTATAAGGCAGTTAGTTAATGCTCAACTCCAAAAAGGCCTTACATGAAATATCAAACTAATAAAAACTCAGTATCTAAGTGGTTTCCCTGATTAGTGTATTCTTACCTCGTTAAGAATGGCCCAAACAGCAGAGTTCTGAATGACTGACAGGCGAAAGGCCGAGATGGGGTTGAGGCTAGGATCTACCATTCCCTCCGCGACACCGTTCTCAAACTTTCCTTCAAAACAAAAATCAATATTTGCTGGACAGTCTGTGATAGCCACACATGAAACATCCCTGACTGAAGACGGGACAGGAATCCACCAAAATGTTTCTGTCCAGTGTCTCTAGTCAGGGCCTGGATGTCTTTCCCTACTCTCCTCCTTTCACTCAGCTTTAAGAGTTTTCAAGTAGGGTATGCTTAAAGACATTGGAAGAAACCTATTTAATTAGGTAGAACTATACTTTTGTTTAAATTAAAAAACAAAACAAAAATGTGTGTTCCTGCATCACCAACATTTTAGCAAATTGTGACTTGGAAAAACCTACGTGACTCCGTCTGATTGCCTTCAAGGTTAAGTCAGGCATAACAAACCTCAGTGTTTGAATCAGGTCAAGAACACAGGCTGGCCTTGAGCAGGGGCTCAAGACACATGTGTTCTTTCAAGGACTTGTCTGGAAGGGGCTGTGAAGGAGCACCTCATCTACAGTGTCGATTTTTAATGCCACCAGAAATGACAAGCTGAAATGGCTCTCCTAGAGAAGGAGTGAAGCCAGGATCTTCTGTCAAGGGGACATGTTCACTATTAAATTTTTCTTGCTGTAAGGAATACCTTCACAAAAAAAACAAAAAAACACAGCATGCTTTCACAAGTGATGAGAAAATGGTTCCTTCAGGGTCAAAGTCATTTTAAGCCAAGGGCTGGCAAATGTTCTCCATAAAGGGCAGTCTCTGTGAGCCACCAGGAAAACTGAGGAAAGGAGGCAGGTACTAATATAAAAAGAAAAAACTCCCACAAATTCTTCATTGATGAAATTCAATATATAATAACAAGCATAATTTTTGTATACTATGGGTGTTCTAAGGAGGATTTTGAAATATAGAAATTTCTTTTTTACTAACACAGAGGTCCCAAATCACTGCTGGACCTGTAGTATGGGAAACCTACCTACTGTAAATGTGAATGGTAACTTTTGAAAGCACAGAAGTGCATTAAGAGTGTGATATTAAGAGTTCAAACAATGTTCACTGTCATCAAAGTGACTTGACTGCAACATTAGTTTGGCTGAATTCCTAAGAAGCATCATCAAGGCTGCAGCAAACACTGACTTTCAAAGCGATGATGATGGTGGAGGGCAGTTCTACTCTGGAAAAATATCAGTCTTGGTACTGAGCTCAAAATAACTGCAGATGAACTTGCCCACTGCTGAGTCAATGAACTGCTGCAGTTAGGACAAGCCAGAATATTCCGTTCCCGTGCCTGCCAAAGTGTCACAGAACTGACCCCGGCCAAATCCGTAAGAGCAAATGAAGCTCACTGCTGACACTTTGGCTCAATGACACATGACAGATTCAAATATTTTCTGCAAAGTATCTGGCTGGTGAATATTAGAATCAATAACCACAGACTTTAGGCACCACATATTTCCATGAGCTCTGTAAATTAATGCAGCTAAGCAGCCTTCTCCTCCCACGTATTTTAACCACCATTTGTTACAACTTAGTAGATTCCACTTCAGGTTGAACTGGATTTGTGTTTTCGTAACTGTGTGAAAACATTCTTGCCTGTGGTTGTTCCCAACAGACTAATCCTGAGGAACAGCTCTTCAGTCACTTTGACTCCAAGCAACAACTCAGCAGTGCTGGGGACACCTGTCAACCATCAGGGTCCACGTAAACCACTCAAAGCCACTTGCTTTGCTTTGTTTTTTTTTTTTAAGATTTTTTTTAAAATACTTTTTTAGTTGTCAATGGACTTTATTTATTTACATGCAGTGCTGAGAATCGAACCCAGTGCCTCACACATGCTAGGCCATCGCTCTGTCACTGAGCCACAACCCAGCCCTAGCTTAGCTTCTTGACTAAGGACGTTGCTCCCAGTGTCCTTGACTCTTTAAGAAGCTGTTTTTGCTGAAAACCTCATTGTCGTAAATGAGTTAATTTTCTCTGCACACATTTATTTGGCTGCTGCAATTAGACATGATTTAATTAACTCACAATTGATAAGTGGTTTTTCTCGCTCGGTTAACAAGCTGCTTGAAAACACTTTGGTAATAGCATCATTTCTTTTCAATTTTGTCAAGAAATTCTGCCATAAGACATTCTGTTTTAAATTTTCTAATTTTTTGACCACACTCTCCCCGGGCAGTTGGGAATCCTGCTGGGCTGAGTCTGAGACACACAGCACAATGCCCACCATGACCTGCCACTTAATTTTGCCTGATGCCCCACATTCCAGTGAGTTCAAAAGCACAATGCTGAACGTCCTCGTCTTGGCACCATGGGAAGCACTGGCAGTCCGTTTTTAGTTACACACTTTGGTGACAGGTGTGGCACGTGCAACTGTTTACAAATGCTTCCTGGTGTCTAGAACACTGAGCTGGGGCACAACCAGCGAAGCACGGCCCTCATGGCTGCTGCACGTGCTCACTCATGGCCAAGGCACTCGCAGACAGACCCAAGCAATGGCATGGCTGTGCTCTGCCTGACTTCCTGGGAGGTGAAATCTGAAGTTTATTTGTTCTGCATGTCACACTTTATTCTATTTTTTAACTACTTAAAAATGAAAATGAAAACAAACATTCTTAGTTCATGGGCCACTCAAAAACAGACAGTGGGCCAGATCTGACTGCCGAGCTACCTGCAAGGGACCGACAGACTACCAGTATGCCAAGGCACACCAAACCCACGGCAGGTGACGACTACGCTGGTTCCTACAGTAAATGGTGGACTTGTAAGCTACAGTAAATGGTGGACTTGGAAGCTTACAAGTCCACCATTAATTCAAAAATTAATAATAAGCTTATTTCATAAAAGTCTGTCTACACTTTGTGCTGGATGGGGGTCGAGTATGTGTGACATACAAGGATTACTGAGTACTGAACGGGGCAGGGGATTCAGAGTTGAAAACTACAGTGCAACTTGGAGCATTTTAACTAAAGCAACATCTAACACCATTTCCTGATGAGCTCATTTCTTTAGAAAATTAATGACCAAAGCAGCAGGAAGATGGAAAGAAAGAACAGAGCCACACGCTCACCCATGGAAACCCACACAGGAACGCAACCACACAGATGAATGTCACGCAAGGGGACATTCATCCCTCTCCAGTTCATGGGCCACTAGAGAGGGATGTTCGTATCATAATTTTAAAGGATGTACTGTGCATTTGCAGATCTGTGCGTGGAATACTTCTGTAAGGAACAAGCACCGCAAGACCTGCTGCTGAAGCCCTGGGTACAACAGGCAGGAGAGGAGGAAGCACAGTCGGTTTTTAAACTGGCCTTTGGAACCATGGGCCAGCCTTCTTTTCAAACAGCAAAATTAGCCTCTGTCTGAAACCCAACTATCCACAAGACTGAAAGATGGAAAGAAGGAAAAAGTGAAGGAGGAGATCACCAGAGTGACTAGAATCTGGCACTGGAGTCCGGGCTCCTGGCACTAGAAGGGACACAGGACTGCTAGGTCCTGCAGTCTGTAGGCTCCTCCTGCCCCGCCCTGGCAGGGCCCTTGCCCTCTTCCACCGTTTCTCTGCAGAAGGCTCCTCTGCCTTCTCAGAACTTGAACCACTGAAATAAATAGTATTTCTTCCATCAGACCACTGTCCTCTTCAGGTAGCCAGCAGGGGCTCACCAACTGCCAGTGGACACCCTGTGATTTCCCACAATGCCTTCGGGCAGTCTGATCCCTCTGGATTCAGGCCCCTCTGCAGGCCACCCTGGGCACTGGCTCCCGCCTGAGGGGGCCCCTCTGTACTCTTTCCTGGCTCTCCTTGGTGAGTGTCCAGCTGGGCTCCAGGGTGGCCTGCACATAGCCATCGTCCTCCACTTTTTTACAACCCACTTCTCTACCACAGTCCATGGCGCCCTTAGCCTTGAACTTTCCCAAGTTCTGTTCTAAATTGGGCCCCTGAGGGAAGGCTGAGGAGTGCCCTGTCCTTCTGGTCTGCCTCTACCAGGGCAAAATCTGCACCTCACCCTGCCCCCACCATCTCCGGCAGGGAGAACACCCCTCTAGTTAGAGTGACACCTGCTTTGTGAGCGGAGTGCTGACTGTGACAGCCTTTGGTATTCTGGGATCACTTCCCAGTGTGCTAGTGACGTGGCTTTCTGGCTGCCAAGCCGTGCGGGTGGCCTACTGGTCCCTGCTGAGCAGCAGAGTGGGGGCCAGGGTGGGTCAGCCGTATGCACACAGCCAGCATGACCTACTATCACGCAAAGCCCGCCACACAGGCACAGGGCCTGAGGCATGCCCACTGTTGTCCTTCGGTGGCCAGGCCTGGGCAAGGTATGGACATCTGCTGCAGGAGCCGCTGCACACAAGGCTAACAGCATTACTATCTTTCCAAACCCTACTTAGCATAAACTTGGACCAACAGCATTGATACATTTTTCAAACCCTAATTAAGGTGGACCAGCAGCAGTGAACGGAGGGCACACTGGGCGGGTCCTCTCGGCACCGCAGGAGTCCTGCTCCTGTTCTTCAATGCATCCTGCCCTTACACTCGTCCTCCTGCTCTGTGGACTCAATCTTCAAATTCACGGGAACCCAGAAAGAAGAGGAAACTGAAGATGAGCTGCCGGGGTCTCTGCCACACTGGAGGGCGTGGCCTGCCAGTAAGAGCGCGGCACTTCCGCTGCCTGCACTTGTGCAGACCCCTCCTGTGGGCAGCAGCAGGGAGGGAATCCCGTTTCCTCTCAAAACCCTGGTTTCACAGGAACAAGGAGGTCGAACAAGGGTGACAGCCAGGCCCAACCTTGTTACCCAAAATGCCTGGGTCTGAGCTTCCATCTCTATCCCATGAGTGGAGGTTGGGTAGAGACTGGAGCTGCTCTCGTCTAGAACAGAGTTGGCGACAATGACAGTGGCATCCAAGAACAGACCACGGCCCTGACCTAGCAGCTGGCAGGAGAGCCCTGCGCTCTGGGCTGCACCTGGCAGAGCAGACCTCCTACCAATGAGCACAGGCAGGGAAGTGACAGAGGGCCTGGTTCAGTACTGCAGACCGAGGACACTGGAGGTTTAGTAGATTCCCATGAATAAGAGCTTCTCACGTACACCCCCGCCCCCGCCCCAGGACAATCTTGAGTTTTAAACACTTTTTTTTAATGATTTCACCAGCTACAGCTGTTTGTCAGGGAAGGTCTGTTAGGCACTCACACCACTACTCACTGCAGCGCACGCCTTACAGGAGAGTTTTTTATACTCAGATGACAAATATCAAACGCTCTTTATTTCTGAGGGGCTTTTCAGTTACACGAGGTCCTCAGTTTGACAACTCGTAAGCTCTCTTCAGAGTCTAAGTACACGTGAGCTCATGGTATAGGCGGTCACTGTCTTCAAATTTCTGCAGCGCTATTAAATACACGTCTCTGTTTCCTATGCTGCTTTCATAATCTAGAACAACTCTCAAAACTTAAATAACTGGTAGGTAACAGGGGTCAAAAATGTCTTGGATACTCAACTAGTTTTGCATACATGTCTAGAGATGGCCTGCGCATGAAGATAACTAGCGTCATCCTGCCTGCCAAAACCACAGGGATACCACTTCGGGGGGAGCCCTTCCTCAGCTGGGTGACATATACCACAGGTAACTGCTCTAGGGGGCGCCCGAGGAAGGCCTCGCCCTCCAGACCTACAGGCCAACTGGCCAACCTTCTCCCTTCCTGTGTGGTGTGGCACTGGGAGGTGGTGCAGCCGCCAGGTGGTGGGGCCTAATGAAGCATGGAACTGTTTTAAAATGAAATGTCTCCTCATTCACTGAATCAGCATCTACCAAGTGACAGGAGACACAGGGACAATGTGGTGGACCATCTACTGTTTTTAACAACACCTCTGAGCATAGGCAGCTACCCAGACTGATCCCACTGAATTTTCCCCTCTCCCCAGGGTGACAGAGAGGAGCTATGAGAGGGTCACACAGCAGAGGCACGGGGCGCCATATGACACAGAGGAGGAGTGCTGAGCTGGTGAGGGAGGGAGCTGCAGGGTGGGCCTTGCGTGTCCCCCCAAGGCCAACATGCTCCAGGTTTGGTCTCCAGCTCTGTCATTCCTGGGAGGTAATGGGACAGTTAGTTGGTGGGGCTTAGTGGAAGGAAGTTAGGTCACAGGGAGTGTGCCCCTGAAGGGGACATTGGGACAGCCATCATTTCCCAGTCTCTCTCCCTGCTTCTCTATCACACACTCCCACCATGACTAATGCCTCCGCCATAGGCCCTAAAGCAATAGGCCAACCAACCATGGAGAGAAACCTACAAAACTGTGAGTCAAACAAAAATGTTCTCTTTCTAAGGTGATTTCCACAGGTGTTTTGTCATAGCTACAGAAAACTAACAGAAGTGAGGGGGCATTCATCAGGAGGAGAAACCACAAAGGATCAGTTGAGGCAGTGTCCTCGGTCTGCAGGAAACAGCTACACGGCTGCACATAGGGCAGGAGGCACTGACTGGAGGAACAGCAGCCTCGGGTCTGGAGATACAAAGACTAAGAGGAAGGAAACAGGAAGTGAAGGGGGATAGGGGATAAGGACTCTGACAGGGGAGAGTCACTGAAGATTCTGCCAAGGTCCACACTGTTGTCAGGACCATCACTGAGGTGACCAACACAGCCCCAGCTCTGAGATAGACACAGAGGGCACAGGGCATCCTCATAGATGGGGCAATTTGGGGCTCTCAGGTAGGGAGAGGGGGTGTAGAGCATGACTCCAAAGGAGAAGTTCAGCAACCAGATGAACAAGGACAGCAATGGCCAGTGAAGAAATGCCGGTGTTACAGGTGCTCAGAACAGGTGGCGATGGCCGCCCAATGTCTCTGGCCATCTCCACACAGACCTGAGGCTCAGTAGCAGAGTTCGACCAATAAGAGACAAAGGGCAAGAGGCAGTGGCCGCAGACTCGCTGTCAGTGAGGACCAGCAATGACATGGCCCGTGGGGGGCAGTGAAGGTGCCTTTGATGCCAAACCCACACTGCTAATCTCCATCTTAAGTTGTTTAACAGCTAATAAGAGTTTGAAATTACTTTAGGAATAGGTTCAGAAAAATAAAAGACATTGTACTAAAGTAGGTATTACCTATTCTGAAATAGCCATCTTCTAATCGTTTGTCTTTGGTTTCTTTGCTTATTTCCAAACCTTCTCTCTGAAATAAAACCAAAGTATTAATTTACAAGTAATTGCTTCTATTGAAAATAGACATGAATCATGAAAATGTCTTCACAAACTCAAGTGGCACTTGGGGCGCAGCTCTCTCCAGAGAGCAGTGTCAGTCACCAAAAAACTGATCAGTAAAGGTGCTTTGTTTACCCATCATCTGAATCTGGATATAAAATATTGATGGCTGGAAAATTAGACACTAAATCTTGTACAGCAGTCAAGAACGTGTGTTGACTTGAAAGAAACCAGGTATTTCTAACAGAAAAATAAATTAATTTTGTATATTCACCAACAGGTACTTAAATGCCCAGTGGTATCTGGAGACTCAAAATAGAAACACCAAGTAAACACTGAAGTAAACAGTCTTTTTTTTCCCTAGAACAAATGTCCACATTATTTTCCAACAGAAAACAAAACAAAGGCTCTGTGAATGAGGACATGGGCCAATATGCTGGGGCTCCATATTTCAAGACAATTTTAGATCACCACCCACTGGAGTCCTACAGACAGGGAGTGTCTTTCATCTCATTAACAAGAACAGCCTCACACCAGGGCTAAAGGATCAACTCTTCGTAAAGGGAGAGAGGAAGGAATTGTTGTACCTTAAGTGGCAAAACTTCAACAGTTGTGTTGAGCAGAATATCTCCTGGATGCTCCTGGTTGCCACTGTGGAAAAGATAACTGAAATGCAGACAGAAGAATGTGTGTCGGTTATTAGAGAAAGTTTTCATAGGAAAAGTGCTAGTCACGGCAAGTTCAAAGACTAATTACAGCCAATACAAATAATTTCAGTATTAGGAGAATGAAACTAAAGAGAGCCTCTTCCAAACACCTGAACATCATGTGTCACTATTTCAAACATTTGAAAAATCATGAATTACTCAACATACTGAGATAAACCTAACACACACTTGGTGTGAGCATGACATCCTTATGCTCTGACATTCTCAGAACTAAATAGTGGGTATTTGTAAGTGTGGGAGGAATGGGACCAGACAGGAAGCAAGAAGTATATCTCAATACAAACCTAACTTAGGGTGAGTTGCAGTGACTGATTAAAAGTTTAGGCTTAGCAGTCACAGAGACCTGATCCCTTGAGTGACTTTCACTAGTTTTCTTAGTTTCTTCCACCTCCTACAGATATCCCCACCTTCCACTATTTCAAGGAGTTTATGAGAACCATCAAGAAAGCACCTGCGTGTTGAAAATAATCAGCCAGGTGTAAGTTACAGGTGATGACAGGATTGACAAAAGGATATTTGTAAACAAAAATCACCTGTGATATTTAAAATTATACCTATCATTTTCCCATGAGAAAGACCTGTGTGTGTGTGTGTGTGTGTGTGTGTGAGAGAGAGAGAGAGAGAGAGAGAGAGAGAGAGAGACAGGGTCTCTGTTGGGGAGAGGGGGAAAGAGAGAGAGAGAGAGAGAGAGAGAGAGAGAGAGAGAGACAGGGTCTCTGTTGTCCAGAATGAACTCCTGGGTTTAAGTGATCCTTCCACCTCGGCACCCCACGTTGCTGGGGCTGCAGGTGGGGATGCTTTTCCAGAAGGCACCTTGGCTTGGAACACTGATCACACAACTACAGACCCTTCACTATCTGCTAAACAGGCCCAAGCTGGGGCGAGGGCAGCCACATTAAGAGCACGTGAATGTAATCTGGACTTAGACTGAGTCAGAGATGTTCACCAGGTGACAATTCACTGCGGAACAACTCCAAACCAACCAGAAGTTTAGCAATGGATGAAGGAATTGATGGGGTGTTAAGTGGTCACTGAAATGCTCAGGACAGACTGGAACAGAAAAATATACAATACAAAAATTACCCATGGACTCTGACCCAAAGCAGAAGCATACAGGAGTACCAATAAAAACAATGTGCCAACCCAGCCATGATGGTGGCTTTGGGGTAGGGATTTTTTTTTTTCTGACTCTTCACACTTTTAAATTTTTTAATAAGGAACACATATGCAATCTGGAAATATTTTTATAATGTATCATTTCTATAATGACGACTACAACCCTCCCCTTAGCAAATAATGCACTGCAGGGATCAGGGAGTGGTTCCTTTTCTCTGTCCTAGGACCGGTGGGCTCCATACTCAGTAGGAAATTCATATCACCACAATTCCAGAAGAACTGTGTCACTACATTATATTGTCCTCTCAACCACGTGAATGTAACTGACAGAGGGTTATTGCAAAAATACTGGCTGTAAAGAAATTTAACCTCCAATATGTAATTTCTTTATCAGATTTTTGATGGACACTTTTTCATTTGCTAAATATTATATTATGTATAGAAAACAAATAGATGTATATATAACACACAATACATAGAATAACGTTTTCTTTTCCTGATTTCAAAAGCAAATTGCTCGCTGAGACTTCCACTTGGGAAGGCGAGATGCAGGTAGCTTCCCTCTTCCTCCCTCTAAACCCAACTGAAGCCCTGGACTCTGTCAGACTTGAGAAGACCAGGGCAGCGAGAGAATGACAGCCTGTGAGGGATCAGGGGGCCAGGGAACAACAGGCTGAACGGTAGGTTTTCTTTCAACTAATACGCTCTAGACTCAGAGCCAGAGAAGCCAGCAACCTGGAAATGCCACCAGGATCAGAAGCAAAAGTCCCCCAAAGGCTGCTGTCGGCCTAAGGATGAGGAGGAGCACAGCCCAGCAAGATAACCTTCAGACCCAAACACGGAAGAGTGCTGCAAAGGCTGAGCAAGAGCTGGCCTTCCACACTCACCAGGCCATGCCACAGGGCTCCACGGCCACCTAGGGGTGGCACGCCAGGCAACGGCACAGGAGAACAGGGACAAGGCTCACCTGCCCCAGCCAGCCAGTCGGCATCAGCACAGGTCTAGTGGGGCCACCCTATCAGGGAGTGCCTTCCCTCTGCAGGTGTCAATAAAACAAACCAGAGAACCACACTGCCACCTGATGGGGAGCAGCTCCCCTCCCTGCAGGAGCCACGCTGGAGGAAGCCGCCCAAGCGAAATGTTTAAAGAAGACTCAGTCTCATAACATTATGCCCAAAACGTCCAGTTTCCTATTTTAAAAAAGCACTCATTGCATCAAAAACAAGAAACAGTCGCTGACCTTTCTACATTGACTGGCTTATCAAATTTGAACAAGATGTAGTCTCCAGCTATTGGGGTGATGGCCCAGAAGAAATCCTCCCCCATGTACGTTTTCTCCAGTGTGTGTCCTTGGTAAACCTTCAAGGAAGTAGACACCTCGGCAGGAGGGTTGACATGGATCTTGAGAAGTAATGGTTTCATGTAATCTTTATCCTAGCAGGAAAGAGATACGCCATTAAACAACACATGCAGAAAATTACCAGCTATACACTGAACAACAAATGATACATCATGAGAAAATCAAATCAAATCACTAACCGTGAGTTTCTGGATTTTTCCCGACAGTGATGAGTGCAGACCAACGTGCTGGAAAAGGGATGGTCTGAAGCGAATGCGTAGGTTTGCTTTCTGTCTATCACAATGTTTCTAAATATTAAAAAAAAAAAAAAGTACTATTGTTACATGATAAAGTGAGACCTTGTCTTTATCTGGAAAAATGAGAAGTCCTTTAGAAGAACATTAAAATCACAATTCCAGGGCATGTGATTTTTATGGTCCTCTTTGAGGTGTGAAGAGATTGCTGCACACCTGACAAAAGGCCACGATCCAGGTTTTAAAAATGGCAACAATAGGGGCTGAGGATGTGGCTCAAGTGGTAGCACGCTGGCCTGGCATGCGCGGGGCACTGGGTTTGATCCTCAGCACCATATAAAAATAAAATAAAGATGTTATGTCCACCGAAAATTGAAAAATAAATATAAAAAAATGGTAACAATAAGCCCAGCTAAGGGAAGAGCAGAGGGCTGGTTTCACCCATCCTTCAAGGCAGGTCAATAAAGATTTAATTTTGAAGGTTAAAATGCACCAACTTTGGAGGTTCCAAAATATCTTCAAATCAGGTAATATAATAAAGAATTTGCCAAATATATATTTTTTTTATTTGTGTTCTTTATTTTTTCTTTTTTTTTAATTGGTTGTTCAAAACATTACAAAGCTCTTGACATACATATTTCATACATTAGATTCAAGTGGGTTATGAGCTCCCATTTTTACCCCAAATACAGATTGCAGAATCACATCAGTTACACATCCACATTTTTACATAATGCCATATTAGTAACTGTTGTATTCTGCTACCTTTCCTATCCTCTACTATCCCCCCTCCCCTCCCCTCCCATCTTCACTCTCTGCCCTATATACTGTTATTCATTTCTCTCCTTGTTTTTTTATTCCCATTCCCCTCACAATCTCAGATAATATAATAAAAAATCTGCAAGTACTAAGAGGCACACTGTTGGGAGGATGAAGATGGTGAACAGCTTTGTGTCCTATAATAAAAAATCCTGCAAGTCACACAGAAAATATAAGTTAAGGCCTATATCTTAAAAGTGGTTTGTTCAAATCAATTTATATGCTGAACTACTGTTAGAAAGTTCACAGATACTCCACTACTTCTCTGTGGTCCATGATTTGCTCTAAGAATTTATTGTTTGTGGGTTTTACTGTTGGTTTTTTAAACAAAGAGAACGTAACAATACCTCAAGGACCCCAGAAGGCAGAGTCCTAAAAACCTGCAGGCAGGATGATCAAACCTCCCAGGACACCGGCCTGAAGCCAGATTTCACAAACGCCAATTTGTTACAATGAATGATAAGGCAACCCTCTAACAACAGGGCTTAGAATATTCACTCAACATTATGTGTTACAATTGGTAAGAATTCTGTCATTTTTATATTTTGATTATGCTTACACCAAATACATAAAAAGTTGAAGAATTATTCCCCCAGAGGCATGATTCAAATCGGACAAGGAAATAGATGTATTTTTTTCCTTTTTAGTTGTAGATGGAAACAATCTATTTTTATTTATTTATTTTTATGCGGTGCTGAGGATCAAACCCAGGGCCTCACGAGTGCAAGGCAAGCATTCTACCACTGAGCTACAATCCCAGCCCTCTATTTACTTTTTATACTAAGAATTTTGGAAAGAATTTGCTGTCTGAGTGACTAAAGCAAAAGCTATCATTCACTTACTTATCTGCCACCCTCATCCCAAAGGTGAGCACACTGCTATGTTGCTTGCAGTCAGACACCAGAAGTGCCTTGACTTATTATTTTGGCATAGGTATTACTTCTATCTTATTCATTATTCCAGATAGAGTCTGATTTGTCCCCAAAGTATTTGGAAAATATGGATTGGCAGAGAATAAGAAGACAAACTGAAACACCCACAGGACAGGTGGGATCAGTATCAACAGCCAATAATAACAGAACAGAGAAAGGCCACTGTCCTGCGACAGGCTTCCCTGCTTCATGGGGTTTCCCAATATTTTAAAAGTCTTCGCAACATTGGAAATTTTCACCAATTTGAGAAAGACCACAAGCAGTGGAAACACCGCCTTCTCCCAGCTGCCTCATTCAACTGCTCACTGGCCAAATCTGGCTCCCCAAAACCCACAAAAGCCACATTCATTCAGAACAAAATAGAGTCGCAACTCCCACCCGCCTCCCGCAGAATTAACTTACTGCATCTTTTTCAGGGTTACAGACTTTGACCCAGAGAATGTGGTCCAGGAGCCAATCGATGGGTTTCTCCTTATAGAACATAAATATGAATTCTACGATCAGAGTGAGGTCTGGCGCTTGGAACATTTTACCTGAAAAGACACTTACAGTCAATAGCTGCAATAAAGAAACAGGTTATCAAAATCATAAGTGAAATCTGAACACTAAGTACATTGATCAAAACTAGTGCTCTCAGCTACAAATCCCCCTATCTCCCACTTGCACCATCAAGAACAGACAAACTCGCTCTAGCTAGGCATCTACTCGCTCAAGCTGTCACCTGGGTATAAACAGAAGTAGTGACCTCCTGACATTATTACAAAATCTATCACTACTGGCTCAAAGGAGTCAAAGAGCAAGTCAGAGTCTTCTTTCATGTCTTACTAAGATTCTTCCTATAAAGAAAGGAACAAGAGAGGTTTAGGTAAAAAGAAAATTATCTAAATCAATAAATAAAAAAAGAACAATGAAAAGGAATCCCAATTGTGCTTTTAATAAAACCTTCACAAGATGTTTCTGAATTTAAATAAGTTCTGAGTTGAGTGACCAACAAGGTCAGAGGCCCAGGCTCTAAGACCTAACTTTTTAAAATAACATAGGAAGTGAAATGTCTTCTTCTGAGTACTTTTTAAAAACATGTAAATTTCCTTCAAGTCTGAAACTTGAAGCATATTCTCTTCGTTGGATAATTTAGGAATATTAAACCTAAAAGGTCTTAAATGAGCACCCCAAGCAGTTAATGAAAGAAACAAAGTGATTAAAAAGGAACCCTCTCTGAATGCCAATCCTGGGGTGACAACGGAACTGCTGGGTGTCTGGAGAAGAAATCAGACATGCTCCTAGGATGGAGGCTGGCACGGTGTTGGTCTCTGGATACTCCAAACTCTGTCTGGGGCTGACTTTCATCTTTTCATACTAAGAAGCTAACATATGCTCAAAAACAATCCATTTCCATAGGGGGGAAAAAAGCAACTTTAGGATCAAAAAAAGCAATTGGTTTAAGATTCTGAGAATCAATTATTTTTCTGAAAAGTAGATAAATCTTATACTTTTCTTACCAATGAAGCCCAGCTGGGAAAATTCTAGAATCATCCATTCCTCAGAAGAAAGTTGGAGTGCAAAATTTTTTATAGTATTAAAATAATTCTGTTTGACAATAATGTCATCTTCAAGCTAGAGAAAATTGAACAATCATATTAATAACTCAAAAAATTAAGATTCAGATAGGACATTATTATGGAAAAACTCAAGCATACTTTCATCAGAAAAGTCAAGAAAACAATGGTCAAAAACAATGAAAATACAAAAAATAGACTTCACTAAACATATTCAGAAAATAAAATGGAAGACACACACACTGCGGTTCAACTAAATCACGCCTATTCTATGGGAATCACCATCCCTTTCTGTCAACAGGTCCCTTTTGGTTCTTTTATGATGCTGAAGATTTAACACTATTTTTCCCCCTTTCAAAGGAAAATAAGTTTTGCAGTACTTTTAGTCATGAAGTTAAAGAAAAGCCAGCAGCTTTCCTTCTCTACCCTTACCCTGCTAGTTAACCTGTGTGAAAAGTTGAGTGGACATGCATTTGACACCTTCTGAATGCACATACAAACCAATATATGAGGTTCCCACCTGCTAAAGTTTGGATCTACTAACTTCCCAAAGGCCACGTGTTGAAGACTTGGTTCCCAGTCCATGGCACCATGGAAGGTAGTGGGGCCTTTAGGAGGTGCCTGGTGGAAGGAATCAGGTTATTGGGGGTGTGCCCTGAAGGGACTATTGGGACACTGGCCCCTCCTCTACCTCACTCTGCTTTCTGGCTGCCATTGGTCAATAATTTTGCTCCTTTGGACACTTTCCACCATGATGTTCTACTTTGCCAAAAGCCCAAAGCAACAGGGCCAAGCTGCCATGGACTGAAACTTCTGATACTGTGAGCCAAAAGTAACTTGTTCTCTTTGTAAGCTGATTGTCTCTCTGGTATTTGTTACAGTAATGTAAAGCTGACTCCCATACCATCCCTTGCGTCAGTTTTATAAAAAGGATCATACCATGACACTAACATTTTTCACTTAATACATCATGAGTATCTTACCAAGTAATAAACATCTACTGAAGTCATTTAGTTTAACAGTGTCTCATGGTTTATTCAGCTCTTCCCTGCTCACAAGCAGACATTCAGGTTGTTTCCTGGTTGTTGTCCACACAATGCTGCAATACTTACGCTTATACCTGCATGTTAGTGCATTTCATTCCTGTAGAACAGATCCCTAAAAGTTCCTTTTATATTAATAAACACCTACAAAATATTGAGAGCTGTGGCAATTCACAGAGTGCTAGTTCCCCTGGGCTTTGCCAGTGCCCAGTGCACTCTCTGTGTGGAGTGTTGGCCAATCCCAGAGAAAAGACAGAAATGGGGACCTTGGCCTGTGTAGAGCCCTCCTCCCCAGAGTCTCCTCTTACCAAACTTCATTTTGTTTCTGTTTCTGGCAGGACTCGGGTTTCATCCAGGGCCTTGTGCATGCTGGGCAGGCGCTCTACAACTGAGCTGCATACCTACCCTTTCCTCAAATATTAAAGCCACAAAAATATTTGATATCTGTAAGGTCCTTGCTTAGCATGTGGGTGTCCATCTTAAATGACAGCCACCATTTAAGGCTTTCCCACCCAAGGACCTTTCTGAGAAAGGCTCACCACTCCCTCATACCAGCCCCATTCTTAACTGCCCACATTAGGACACACCAGCTCTAATCCCTGAGCCCTCCCATAAAAGTCCCAAACCTCAAGTTTGTGCTGCCTCTGTCTATGGAGAGATGGCCTTTATTTGTCAGCTCTGACAAACTCTTGTGCGTATCTCTGCCAAGTCTCCATCTTTCATTTCTTGCTGCCTGTCTCCCAGTTCCTCGCTTTCCTTTCAATAGCCTAAGAATATTTTTCCTTTTCTGATTTCAGTTATCATTTCTCATTACCTAAGTAATATTTGTCTTAGTGTTTGATTTTTCATGTACTACCAGTACTGCAGGTTTTCTTCTTCCTATCTATGAAGAAATATAGTGTTTGGAAAGGTACGCTATTGATGAGCTTGCCAACTATTTATTGAGCTTCTGTTGTGCTGTGGACGTTGTGACGAGTCCTAGGACATCATTGAACAGGAAAGACGCGCTTTACTTCCTTGGAGCCCAGAGGGGCTGAAGGGAAAGGCAGGCAAAGCACAGGGCAAAGTGACATTCAACCTTGCTTTTGGCAACAAGAGACACCTCCACTCATGCCTGACTGGCTATGCCCCGCAGGAAGGACACAGAAGAGATGCATGGCAAGGATCCCCTCCGCCCCTTTAAGAACCACTGCGGCTGGCCTCCTCCCTGACCTGGGCCCCCAGGGCCTGCTCTCCACCTCACAGTTCTGTCTCCTCCTTAAGAGGACTATGTAAATGGAATCACAGTATATAACCTCTGAGACTAGCTTCCTCATTCAGAACAATTCCCTAAGATCCAAGCTGTGGATCAACAGTTTGATTCTGTTGGTTGTTTAGTATCCTACATATGGATGTATCATCATGAAGTCACCTTATTGGCATCAGGTCAACACTGGCATTAGATCCGCCATTTCAGGTCGGGAGCCACTTTTATCTAAGGAATCCTGGGTTTTGATTTAGGAGACATTTTATCTAGAGATCCTGAGGAACTGCTGCTTGGCCTCCCACAGAACATGTGCCTACTAAAGGGTCCACCCCACCCCAACCCATGACATAACCCCTAAAGCAAGCTTGTGAAATTGCTCTTGCAGGCTATAAAGATGCTCTGTAAGTGACACTCACTTCTGCTCCCCTCAGAGGGACAGCCTTGTCAGTTTGCTCCATGCTCTGACAATAAATCTCGAGTGGGATTCTGGTGTGTGGTGTAGTTCTTGGACTTTGCGAGTGTCCTTTCACACAAGCTGAAGCATACCTGGGTGACCTGCAGTCGGGGGGCAATGAGAATACTGCTGCTCTGAAGACCCATGACAGATTGTTGGTGGACAGAGTGCTTCAATGACATCAATGTCTCATGGCAGGAGCCACCATGAAGACTGATGTGCCTCATTAGTGACTGCGAGTTTACAGAGGAAACAAGATACAAAATACTGTTTTTACACTACGCAAATGTAATACTGGAGAGGGGAATGCTCTATACACGTACCTGCTTAAATTTTTAAAAGCTAGAATGAGAAACTAAAAACTGTGGTGGGGGCTGGAGCTTTGGCTCAGAGGTAGCGCACTTGCCTGGCATGTGTGAGGCACTGGGTTCAATTCTCAGCACCACATATAATAAAATAAAGGTCTATCAACAACTAAAAAATATTTTTAAAAAAATACTAGTGGTGGGGGCTGGGGATGTGGCTCAAGCGGTAGTGCGCTCGCCTGGTATGCTGTGCGGCCCGGGTTCGATCCTCAGCACCACATACAAAGATGTTGTGTCCGCCAATAACTAAAAAATAAATATTAAAAAAATTCTCTCTCTCTCTCTCTTTAAAAAAAAAAAATACTAGTGGTGGTCACCCATAGGGGAGGGAAGGAACCATGGTAAAGAGTCAGGGATAAAAGTGAGATGTTGGTGACCGTACCTTCTTTTATAAAAGTTCTGATTTTGAAATGCTAGGCTCTATGTAAAAAAAAGAAAACTCTAAAAACTGAATATAAGCCAAAACAAACGGACCTAGTTTCATATGAAGTTGGCACCACGGTCACAAAGGATAAAAGAACCACTCAGGTGACTTTCAGAAACCATACTTTGACTATATATACACATCATGATTTATTCTATGGGGAAGTAAGCACAAAGAAAGTTCAAACTGCATTTGGAAGTCTTATTGTTAGTAGTGATACTAATATTTTGAAATAATTCTAGAAACCATTTTACACTATACAACAAAAAATATATCAGGATCAATCATGCTATTACAAACTAAGACTTTCAGTGTAAGAGGAAAAGAAAGAAGTATAAAAAAATTAAATGAAAACCCTCTAATCACATCTGAACTGGAAATACCAATACACACTTGTGCAGTTTCTTTCTCTGAAAAACACCCTCTTCCTTGCTCCAAGTCCTAGAAGCAGAGACATAACAGCAACCAGCATCTCAAGTGCCAGATCATGTTCTTAGCCATCACATGCCTTTGAGAGGAGCAGGCACCTGAAAGTGACCGATTCCTGATCTGGGAAAGGAAACATGCAAGATGGGCCAGCCAAGGAAGTGATCAAAGATCCTGGACTTACAGAAAGGAAATAATAGCCAACCAATGAGGCTCTTCTTTATCACACTAGTGTACCAATGTGAGCATCGGTAAGAATAAAATTAATAGACAGAATCAAGCATTTATTCTGCCTTTTCTTATTGAACTATTTTTCAAAGTAACCAAATAGCTGAGAAAAGAAAATTCTTTATAGAAAAACTCGGCTTCAAGGAACATCAGTGAAGTAGAAAATTACCACTTGGGAACCTTTAATAAAATAATCTAGGGAGAGATCACCAGTGGAGACTGAAACCTTCAGAAAAGTGGATCCTGGAGCTTCTCCTGGGGATGAGGCGGGTACACAGAGCCCACTGCCAACCTCAGCACCACTGTCAGGGGGGCCACCTCACAGGTGAGGTATCAGGAGAATACGGCACCCCATGAAGTGCCAGAACCATCTAAGTCTTCCAGAAAACACTGTCTTCCAGTCATCTGCAACGAAGCACTTTATGAAACCAGGAATGACAGTGTCATGGTAAACTTCATTCTGAGCTGCAGGCCTAACACCAGGACAGCTGGCATTACCAGACCCCCTCGAGTGTGTGTCCTTGGTAGTGCCAAGCAACGCCCAACTCTGCTGCCTTTTTAAAGGAAGCCTCTGAAAGTCTTGAGTATGACATTCCCCTCTCCTGTAACCATGAAGCCACTTTCCTAGGGGATCACAGCAAGGTCTAGAATAAATTCCTTTGCTCCCTCGACCTTCATCCTAATACTTCAGATGTTCCCAGGTGACCTCTTTCCTTCATAAACTAACATATCAAAGGACTTTTTAGGCTAAGATGTTTTTAACACTAATACTCTGGAGGTGGGTCATCTGACCTCATTAACAGAATTCTGCATAATTTAAGATTGTAAAGACTAAATATAAAGCAACTTCCTCTTTCCTGAGGCATAAGTTT